CTCAATCTATTGCCCTATTTCTCTAGCACAAACTTCAAATACTGTGTCAAGTAGGTTGGAAAGACTGGGAACTCCATGTTATTTCTGATCCTAGTGGAGATGCTTTGTTTTATTTTGTTTTCATTTAGCATGATTTTGGTTAACCTTGGTGACTTTATTGAATTAAGACACGATTAGATTAGAGAAACTTACTTCTTCACATGAAGAACTATTTCCAAAGAAAGTCAGGTGATGAAGGTGTTGTAGTTTAAGAAAAGCAGCACGAAAGAGAAAGATATCATGGGACAGGGTTCAAGCAGTTTTGTTTTTTAATTAGAGAAAGGGATCATAAAAGGGGAAAGAGGAGGGGGGAGACAAGCCTTGAGGGACAGAAGTAGCAGGAGAGAGGAAAGGAGAGGAGAGAGAGAAAAGAAGGAGAGAGAGGGCAACAGAGAGAGGGAGAGAAAGAGAGAGAGAGAAGGATGGGATGTGGGCAGGGACTTTTAAAAGGGATCACAGTGAATATGCACAAGTGGTGCTCTTAGTGGCTGCAGCTGGGGGCGTATCCTGTCAGAACCGAAAGGACAGCCCAGTACAGATGCCTGAATACTAACAGAAGGCTCAAAGTCATGAACTAATTAGTTACTTAACAGGTTCATCATCTGGTGCCATTGCTCAGAGCTGATGCAAGGCAATGAGTAGAGCTTATATGAACTCCATGGGCAGGAGTGTCCCTAGGGGTTACATCTTCCTTGACTTTCATCTCTATTGCCTTTTATCAATATGAAGTGCACCATGAAAACGTTCCTCCAGCACCCCCTCCTACTCTCCCAGTGTTGTTTTTTCAACGGGTCCAGAAATACAGAAGCAAGTGACCATGGATTGAACTTTGTGAAACTTTGAACTAAATAAAATGCCTCCTGCTTAGATTGTTTCCATCAGGATTTGGTCCAGTGGGAGAATGCAAGTAAAACAGATACATTCACTCTGAATTTAAGTGCAATAATTAGTTATGCAAAGGAAAAACAGAACTGACTTTGGTATCTGTAATTGATATTGAAGCAGAAATTACAGCATAATGTAGCTACAGGAAAACACACTAGCAGTGAGTACACAAGGTGTATTCATTTGACAATCGCTGGACAGATAGAGAGGCAAATTATATGAAGTCAAACTCATTAAAATCACACTCAGAGGCATAACAATTACTTGTTTTTTTAAGGTAATAGTAGCAACAACATTTTCTGGCCATTTGCCTTGAAAATACAATGCGGCTTACATTCCCCAAGATGTAGCCCTCATATGATCAGCTTGCATGAAATTCCTAGATAGAGTCTTCACTAAGTACTCATTTCTCTTCTCTGTGCCAGGCTCGGGCACAGAGTTTCACTGGGGAAAACTTTGTTGTGTATCAGGGTTTTTGCAGCACTGTTTTGTTTGGCTTTCAATTATTTTCTTTTAAGCACTTTAAAGAAATCTGTGCCTTAAGGAAGAGTAGTGGGGTGGTGTGATAGAGAAGGCAAGGTTAGATCCCAAACAATATTCACTTAGACACAAGCAGTGATTTCAGATGTTAACAGATAAACTGGGAAACTAAAGTTTATTGTTTATCAAGTTTAACTTTGTTTTCACATATTTTTTTAAGGAAGTAGAAGCTTCTCACCACAACGAGACAGCTGATGATTGAGGTAAGAAAAACTAGTCACATTGATTTAATTATCGCACATTGTATGCATACATTGAATAATATGGGCATATTATAAGTATGTATAATTACCATATATAAATTTAAAAACAAATGGTACCAAAATTAATAGAAAAGTTATTATGTTTTTGAGACTTTATTTTAATGAAGGATTACAGAAAATGGAAAATAAAAACTAAATAGCTCCTATATAAAAAATGTATTTTTACTGAGTATGTTAAGGTCTTTTGTGTCTGTGTTGAAAGTGATCCAAAACTGACTGTAAACTATAATAGCTTCTTTATTTGGTAAATAATAATTTCTTATTTCCATTAGAATGTATTTGCACTCCTTTTTGCTATGCTTTTTTTTCTAATTTGTTTAAATTCTTATTGTAATTTTTCGGGTTTCTTTTTGAAGTATAGGTCTGTTCTCAACATTCTATTGTCATTGCCTTGAAGTAAACAAACTAGAGAATGACATAGCAAAAGAAAAGGTAGCATGTGTGTGTGTGTGTGTGTGTGTGTGTGTGTTGTTATGTAAAACAAAACAGAAACCATTATGCCCCAGGGTAAAAACAGCCATGTTTCTGGGCTAATTTTGAATTGCCATACTGAACAGTGTATAGATCTAGTTAAACAATAAACTTTACACTAAATACTCATGCTGTCAAACTACCTTCTGAACATTTATGTGTATAGCCCTATATGCACATTGGTCTCCACTTTGGTGAAAAGTGTTTCTTTTCTGAGTGGGAAATGCTTAATGCAGGGATTCATAATAGTCAAAGTGCCAAGTGTATGTAACTGTGAGTGCTCAGCAACAACGGAATCATATATACTACCGTCTTCCCATGCAAGCCTCAGGGACACCACCAAAGGGTGTGCTTACTGGCATTAGGATCTGGAAAATAAGGAGAAGAGCAGTGGGATGCTTATGTCTGGACATGGCATGGCTTTTGCACTCATCAACTCACCGCACCCATGGTTCAAGTATGGGGCAGGAGCCTCGGTTTCCACCCTTGGCACAGGAGAAAGTGCAGTGCAGAAGGAGAAAGAGTCACTCTCCTTTGGATCATGGCTGGTAGCGGGTGGCTTATTCTTATTGCACGAGCACTACACATAATACCACACTAATTGGAGTCTTAGGGTTATAAACAACAGAAAACTGGAGGACATGAAGTTGCAAGGAGATCAGGGTGGGGAGACTATGGGAAGATGAAAGGAGGTGATGATGAAATTGAACATTTCAAAGATAAAATATTTAAAAATAACAGTATTTTAATATGTAATATGAACCATGATAAACAGTTACATGGAGATAAAATATGCTTAAAGAAAATTATTGGGACCCACCTAGGCAGGGGAAAAAGACAAGATTTCCTGAGTAAATGGATGGGGAGAGGGCAGGAGGGGGGACTGGGGAAAATGTATAGTTCAATTTAAAAAAATTAATTAATTAAAAAGAAAGAAGTCATTGGAAAACAATAAAATGATACTGAAAAAATCATGATACTTGCCACAGAAATGTCTAGTAAATATCTGTGACTAACGCAATGTTTGGAATAGGCAGTAAGTGAATTCTGAGGGTGTAACACAAACTGCATTGAGATGGCAGCAAATAATTTTATGAAGTGAAAATACAGGGTATGAGCTAATTACAGAGCTCTAGTTCATTATTAAAATCAAATGGAGACAATTCATGTGCTGAATGAGCCGAACATGAGAGCTGGAAGAAGTATGGCCGGGTGTTATAGTGGATTATGACCAGGGTGGGCCATGAATTATAGTCTATGCATTTATTCAGTTGGTGAGAGGGTTAAGAAGCAAGATTCTTGAATGTGAGGGGACCGTGAGAGGTCTGCATGTTTTCACACCATTGTAGGACAGGAAGCTATCCAAGCTTCCCTCACCATCAGTCATCTTTCTGTCCTAAGGTCTGCAACAGGGCCTTTACGTTACTATGATTATTGTAATTAATGTTAGTCTTAATAATGGTGATCTATTTTAAAACTCTTCAGTGTGGAAAGTTGCTTTGTATACTTTTTCTTATGCGGCTCTTCTAAAATATTAATTTGACATTTTTTGCAAAGAACTTTTAATATCCAGTGAATATGTTGCTGCTTCTAAAATATGTCACAAGAATATGACTGCAGCTCCATTTCTTGTTTATCCGCCAGATCGTCTGACTAGTGGAAAACAGTAGACAACATGACTCTAATTCTGCAGGTGTCAGGGTGGATTTAAAAGTGTAACAGTTTGGGGATGATATTCATATACTAGAAAGGGGAAAGGAGGCTTTATAGAGAGCAGGGATGAGACATATCAAAGCGAAGACCAAGTCAGAAGTAAGATGGAATAAAACTAACAGACCAATTAGAGAGAACTCACCCAAGAATGGCTGTATCATATAAATCATTGTATAAAGACACTTGAAAACTGAGTTTTTATTTGTTACCATGTTTGCTGACAAGGTGTGTATAATTTTGTCATAAAAAATGATGGACATCTTGACTGTTTCCAATTTCTCACTGTCACTAATAGTGTAGCATAGATATAGATAAGCAAGTATCTCTGTAGTAAGATGTAGAGCCCTTTGAATATATGCCCTAGACTGTAGCTGCATCTATAATAAATATTGCTTTCTTCCTTTGTCTTTGTTCCTTTGGTTAGTTTGTTTTTTTTGTTCCTTCTTTTTATTTTTTAAAAAGTGGGGAGGGTCTGGAGGGAGTGGAAGAAGAATATAATCAATATATATTGTATAAAAATCTAAATAAAAAGTTTTTAAAAATTAACACATTAAGCATGCAAACTTACTAGAAAAAAAAAAGCCTAGTGCTACTCTCAGGCCCTGCCTGAAATTCTACTTTTCCATGATTTTAAACTAACTGCATTTCTTTATGGTTATTTATTTGTTAATTCAAGAAGGAGGCCATTTTTAAGAAGACTGCAATCAGAGGTAAGATGGAGATAACATAGCAATGGTAACAGTCCAGGGTTTCTGAACTAAAGGAGCTTGATATCCAACACAGAAGTGCAAACAGTAAGAGTACGATCTGACAGGATGTTCAGTAAAAGAGCCTAATTTTGAGGGTAAAAATAAAACTCAGTTCAAAGGGAAAATGCCATCATTTAGTTTGGGAGGATCTCTAACATGTGGAATGTGGCTTGATGGTATTGTTTTTCAGCAAAGGTGTATTTTCAAAGAGAAGGCCATTCCTTTGTTGTGGCCTGCCACACCTTCCCCAGAACACTATAAAAGCCCAAGCACTAAAGGTGACGTTCATTCTCCAGAAACTCACCTTCAACTGCACACCAAGTCCTAAATCTCAGACACAATGAGCTACTACTCCAGCAACTACTATGGTGGCCTTGGCTATGGCCTTGGTGGCTTTGGTGGCCTGGGCTATGGCTATGGTTCCAGCTATGGCCTTGGGGGTTATGGTGGCTATGGCTATGGTTCCCGCTATGGCCTTGGGGGCTATGGTGGCTATGGCTGCTTCCGTCCCTCTTTCTATAGCAGATACGGGTTCTCAGGATTTTACTAAAAACATGCTGTCTGCAGTAATCCCCTAATCTCATCCAGAATCGATGGCTCCTATTACCCTACTGTCCTGAAGATTTCCCCTTTGTTCTTTTAGTGATATTTCTCAGCATGCTACCTCAATAAACGTCTATTGTGAGCATTGTTCTATTGTTTCATTGATCTTTTTCTCATTAGACATTTCATTCCAAACTTTGTCATATTGCATAAAGTATTTCTTTGTGAATCGTTTCTTCCATTGTGAGTATACTGTTTTAAGTCTGAGCTTATATAACCTTGTCCAGTAGTTCCATCTTTTCATGTCATAGATGTTTAGTGCTCTCTCTCTCTCTCTCTCTCTCTTTGGTATTCTGAAAAACAAAAATATGCTTAGCCATCATTAATTCCGACGAATGCCTGAGCCCTTCATCTACATAACTATTGTTCTCATGTTCTATCATTTGAATTCAGTGTCTAATAAAAGGTAATATTTCAGCATGTCTGCTCTTTAGATATGGTTACTGTATGGACATCACCAGGATGCCACCCATGTATGCTGCTCAATCTATATACTTATGAAACAAGAGAATTGGGCAACAGCTATTTTATGCTTAGCTTCTTCCTTAGGAAAGGAAACTGAATTAAATTCAAATAAACAATATCTGCATGCAACTTTGAAACTCTAATTTTAGGAAGTGACCCCAAAGTATTAATTTCACTCATAATAAATTTACAAATGGCATCAAACTCAGTGATTGTTGTTTCTCATTAGTGGGGTGCTTTGACTAACAAAGGAAGTAGGTGTTCATATAGAAAGTATTCACATTTATGCCATACACAGTTTCGAGTTCTAACAATTCACTAACAAGTATTCATACAGTGATCCACTGACTTGCAAGGGACCTTACTTTATTGAGTATATGAACAAGATTGCTGGGTCTTTATGCAGCCCACCACTATACATATTGAATATTTACCTAGAGAAAAGTGATTCTACCAAATGGCATCTACTTTTCTAGTTGCATAGAGAAAGACAATGGTATAAATAATTCTATTAATTTTGATACATATGTACCTTGGTATTTATTTTGGTGCTAGATAAAGAAAATGCAATCTATATCTATATCTATATCTATATCTATAGATATATCTATATCTATAGATACACATGTTTGCATGAAATTCTAAAAAGAACCAATTTACTTAATAAAAGTTTGAAATAAAAGATGGTACCCCTCAGCTAAAATGACATATTATCTAGCTTGTTTTCCAAGCAGCAAAAACAGGGTCTGAATGTGGCTCTAGTGTGTAAGATATCTGCCAGAGCACATTCATGGCTGCAGATGGGTTAAGGCCAATGCTCTGTTGAAGTTGTCCTACTTGTGTCATTTTCTAAGCCAAAGTGCAGATGTCAGCAGCAAAGATAAAAGCTGTTTGTGTGAATTTGCACACTTACAGTTAAGGACTGTAGGCAGAAATTCTGAACGAACACCTAAACTTTACACAAAAAGATGGAGATTTGAACTTACTGGTCAAAGAAAGGCACAGGGAGTGAGGTGAGCAGAATAAGTATACTCCGGGTGGAAAGGGTGCTTGCTGACACTGAGGGAAATGGATAGGAGTCAAGTGCAATTCCCATTGTTAGTTGTCAGGGTTAGTACAGTTAGGGGTGACAGATGATTGACAAATAACACTTCCAATTGGACATTTGCAAAATGTATATAAGAAAAGCGATAACAGAATAAAATATATTTTTAAGTTTGAATTTCTTCCCCAAACCATTATCAAAGTTTTCTTGACATTTCATAACATCCCAAATCTTATTCTGTGTCCTTTATTGGATTGTCACTTAAATAACTGAATTTTAAGAAAACATAGGTCACACTGACTTAGAGCTGACACCACCAGCCACAAGGACAGGAAATGCTTGGTAACTCCAAACTTTGAAAGTGAGGAAACCATGAATAAAGATGCAACTGCTGTAACTATATGTGAGAAGTGGAAACAGGCTTTAGTAAAAATGTGAAAAGTTCATTCAGTTCATATTGGCACTGTCCATGAGATCCCAATCAAAACAGCATCTGCAGACATTGAAAGTTCATTCAGTTCATACTGGCACTGTCCATGAGATCCCAATCAAAACAGCATCTGCAGACATTGACTTTACATTTATAATTCCATGTGATTATTACTTACATGTTAATAATATTCAAACAGCATTTTTACATTCAAAATTGAAGTATTTTGATACATGAAGGTTATTTTTTCCTTTCAGAAACCCTTTGCCATAGGGTTTTTGATTATTTCTGACTGGATGACCTGACCACCACAAATTGTCAGCTTTACATAAAATAAAGTTTTCATAGATTGTTTTGTTTGAAACCAGATACTATTCTCTCTAAGAAGATGATGGAATTATGCAGATATGTTAAAACTGAGGAGATTATGCTTGGTAAACAAAGGGAATTAATATTTGTTCTTATATGCTATAATTTAGTTTCAGTTAACTTGGATGTCTTTGTTAACTATTATCAAAAAAAATGCAAGATAACAAATCATTAGGAAGCTTCATACAATACTTGTTATTGTTCACAAAGCTCCAGGTTCACTTGGCAGTGGTATCCTTTAGCGGTTCATACATGTATCGTCAGCAGTATGTGAGTTATACAGGTGATTTCAAGTTTCATTGACTGATGGTTGATACACTAAAATTACTCATTTTATTAATACACATTTGCAGCCAGAAAGCCTTTTAATGTACTCACGGTGACGCTGAGATGAAATTAAACTCCATTTGTACAAATTTTGTGTGAGCAAACTTTTCCTGGGGAGACACTACACACATCTACTCACCCTAGATAGGGACCCACCAAAGTCCAGGGATGATGAGTTTTATTAGGGTTTTATTTACAGGAGTATGGATGAAGGGTTACTCACAGGAGAATGGGTGAGGGGTTATATGCAAAATCATGGGTGAGAATTTACTCACAGAAATACATGTGAGGAGTTACTTACAGGAGTAGAAATGACTTATAATGACTTAAAAGAAATGGGCTTCTTTTAAAGATTGTTATACACAGGTTATCCTGATATCAAATAGTAATGACAAAAATAAAATGTCTTTTATGGTTGGGATTGGGTTGCTAAGAAGGAAAAAGAGCAAACAAAGGGCCTTTTCCTGCCCATTTCTTTACAAGCACCAGAAAAGACGTGATTGTGAGTATGATGACTCCCTCTGAGACAAATGACAGGATCAGTGGTCAGTGGAGGCAAGTTGCAAACTCTAATAGAAAATCCCTTACCTGCCTGTAGCTTATTTGCAAGACCCAACCCTCCAGTACAAGTAAAAATTAACCTGAAAATAATCCTCGGTATGGGATGCAACTCACAAACTGCTTACAGCATGTGACAGTGTTGAAGACAAGACAGTGACAGGACCTTAGACTGGCCCAAAGCAAGCCAAATTAAAAGTAAACTGACAGTTACAGACACTACTGTTTATGGCTCCCTGGAACAAAGCTAACATGATTAAAAGGTGAATTGATAACAATAATACTGTTAAGGTGTTATTCTTTCCTGCCTCATATACGTGCTGAGTTCTAGGTCACACAGAACCAGTCTTAGTTGACCAAATGGCTAAACAAAAATAAGAGGAACTTTATGACAGATTTGATTAAAAATGTCCCCAGTAGGCTCACATTAGAACACTTGGTCCCCATTGGTAGAGTTGATTTAGGATGTTATAGCACCTTTAGGATGCGCAGCCTTGGTGCAAGAAGTAAGTCACTGGAAAGGGGCGTTGAGGGTTTATAGCTTAACCCACCTTTCCCCAGTATCTCCTCTTCCTGTGTAGTAATAAACTGTGATTGCCCTGCCTCTTGCTCTGCTAGCATGTCATGTCCTTCCAGCCATCATAGATTTCTAACCTCTGGATCCCTAAGTCAAAATAAATGCTTCATTCCTTAAACTGCTGTTGGTCATGGCTCTTTGTCATAGCAATGGAAAGTAACCAATATGGTGCACTCTAGTAATAGTACCTTGGATGAGTCATAGAATGTTTCATCATAACTGGATATCTCCAAAAGCCATCTGGGATATAAAACAACATATTTAATCTTCAGGATTCTCTCCAGAGGGTTTTGTGTCCTCCATTTACTTACATCTTTCCTATTCTTACACTTTAAAATTAGTTAAAACACCCCCGTGGTCTCTCCTCTTTTCTCTTGAATTTTCACTATTTGTGGTACAGTTATGGCTTTACATATTCTCCTATGTAAAACTTCTATTTTTGGATAACATTGAATATAGATCTTCCTCTTATAAAAACTAATAATGATATATTAAAACTAAATAAATTGTTTGAGCTTATTTTCACTTTGAACTTGTGTGTGTAATTTAGCTCCTACACACACACACACACACACACACACACACACACACACACACACACACCACAAAGTGATGCAAGTGTATACACACATTCACACTTGCAACTACAATGAATCAGTAGGCTTTCAGGAACCTATAATTTATTTCTTATTATAAAGTATGACATGACAAATCATCTGTTATTCAAGAAAAATTCAGTTAGTAGTGACTGAACTCTAGAATATTTTATAGAAATAATGCAGAGAAAATATTTTCTATATCTATGAAATGTAAGACCATTTAGTAGGATCCTAGAAGCACAGGATAGGAATTTAAATTCAAACTGCAGTTTCTCAAACACTGGGCTGCTCCTTCTGAATAGGACAGAGTCTTCATGGAAAGTAGAGGACAGGAAGTTAGGTTGTGTTAAAATATTTCTTGAGTACAATTCATCATAATTTGACATGGTAGCCTGTAGGGAGATAGAAGGTGCTCGAATAGAACTCGCAACAGAATGATAACATGTTTCTTCTGAATAAATTCGGTCTTTTTTTCTAACTTAGAGAAGTATGCATAATATTTTCATGATTTTATGTTAATTTATTGAAAACTGAAAAGAAACAAAACATGATAATTGGCAAAGATTGAAACTTTGTT